CTTGAATTCTGCAGAAGCAAAATTTGCAGTGTAGGTTTCCCCTCTGTAAATAAATGAGCCTAAAACAGGATGTTTTATATCTTTATTAACTACTTTAGGACAGCTAAGGTCTCTCTGAAATAAAGAACAGCTACCACCTGCTCTTTATGTTTTCTTTTCCTGATCTGTTTTTGTTGTTTTGAAGCAGGGTCTCAAGTAGAACACCAGGCAAGTGTGAGCTCACCATGCAGCTGTCAGTCCTCCTGCCTCTGCTCCACAGATGCTAGGGTGGCAGGTATGTGTCACTACAGCCCGTCTCTGACCCCCACGTTTTAACAGCCAACAGGAACCTGGGCTCTGCAATCACAAACACTTTCCCCAGGGTACAAGAAATTGTGGCCGCCAGTCCCATGTTAGCAGCAGGATAGATGAATGTAATCTGTGTGGTGGTGTGCAGTAGGGGTAGAACATGGTTGTGAGCAGCACCTTGGTCATGTGACCCTAGACTGGGAGGGTGCTATTGCTCTGCAGGCCCATTCCAGCCATCTGCAGAACCATAGGGCTGGAGTGTTGGGAACAGACCTTTCTGCCCTTCTCAGACAATGGTACAGTGACTGGTTAACATAGCAGGTGTAAGCACAGCATGTAGAGACAACTCCAGACGTTCCCTTTTAAAATTATTTTTTAAAGAGTTCATTATTTGATGTTAAGGGATGTTTTGGCTGCATATATGTCTCTACCACATATATATCTGGCGCCCAGGAAGGCCAAAAAACCCATCAGATCACCTGAAACTGGAATTATAGATGGTTCTAAGGTGCGAAGTGGATGCTGGGAACTGAACCTGGGTCCTCTGGAAGAACAGCCAGTACTCTTAACCACAGGGCCACCTCTTCAGTCTTCTTATTAAATTCTTAAATGCTCAGAGCCTTGGAGGACTGAAAATTTTAAATAATAAAAAAAAAGAACCAAAAATCAAGGAGAGTAGATGTTGTCAAAAACATGGTAGCTCTTGTAGTTACTGACTGCTCGCTTTATCTCCAAGTTCATCGTAGAAGTCAAAAGAATTCAAGATATAAAGCAGAGATATTAGACTTGTGTTAGGGGTAGAAACTTCTGGTAGTAGCTCTTGGTGACGTCAATCATCAGCTCCTGTGTGCACTCTGGGAGCTCCCCTGAGAAGAGTCCTGGGGAGAAAGAGAGCCGGTCGGTCAAGCAAGGGAGCCAGGAGGCCTGGAGTCCTACCCTTTGTGCAAAGCCTTCTGGGATCTACTGTGAGGATCTAACTGTGAGGTACTTCATCTTCAGACTGACAAGACTGTTGACTACCGACATCTTCTGAAAGGTCCGAGTTTGTGTTTGGGAAACAAACACTACAGCTTTCCAAACGAAGAAGCAAATGGCAGGTGAAAGAGGTCAGAACATGCTTACAAGATAAAAAGAGAGAAGCACCTCTGACTGCTCCGAGTGTTGTTCCACACAAGGGTCTTCCACCCCCAGGATTACAGTGTGAGCCCCACAGAGCCTGTCTTACCCCTAAGGCAAGAACCGCCCAGCCATTCCTACAGTGAAACTCAGTCCAGCACAATAAAACCCAAGCAATGATGTTAGGTGTAGGTGAATCCAAGGAGGACAGCACAACAGTTCACGATGGAACAAGCATGGCAGAGAACTTCACTCCTAGGCGGGCATGAAGGCACATGCCTTTAGTTCCAGAACTCCAAGAGGTAAAGGCAGGCAGATCTCTGTAAGTTCGAAGCCAGCCTGCTCTACGGTATGAGCTCTAGGACAAGCAGGGCTACACAGGGAAATCCTGCCTCAGAAAAACAAAAGCAAAATCAAAGAAAAAAAATTCTGAAACAATGGTTAGTACTCTGAGCTGCTGTCTCCATTCATGCAGATTTCGTTTATTTTTGCTGTTTTGGTTGTTTTGGTTAGAGACAGGGTTTCTCTGTGATGTCCTGGAGCTTACTCTGTATAGATTTTTTTAAAAAATGTGCATTGATGTTTTGCCTACATTCATCCATGTAAGATTGTTGGATCCCCTTGGAAGTAGAGTTACAGACAATTGTGAGCTGCCATGTGGGTACTGAAAATTGAACCCACGTCCTCTGGAAGAGTAGCTAATGCTCTTAACTGCGGAGCCATCTCTCCAGCCCCATCATGCAGATGTTTTGAAGGACACTTTAAAAATAGCTAGTAAAGGGCTAGAGAGATGCCCTGGCAGTTAAGAGCACTGATTGTTCTTGCAGAAGTCCAAGGTTCAGTCCCAGCACCCACACAGCAGTTAACAATCACCTGTAACTTCAGGTCTGGGCGCTGCATGCACCTAGAGATATATGCAGGCAAAGACACAAACACATAAAATAAAAATAGCCAGCAAAGTTTTCAACATTCACATTCTGTGGTCTTAAGTGCTTCTAAGAATATACACCAGAGATAATTGTGTCCAATAGTGCAATACATGTAAAAGAGTGTCAAGATAGTTTCTAATAGTGCCCAGGTACAACTGCTAATGACCCATTACACTATGGGACTGATTCAATGCTTTGTGGTAAATCTACCTATGCAGTGTGTGAAACCTGTAACCCTTGAGAGGAGTGATGTGGCTCTTCATATACCACCTGAAAAGCTACCCAAGGTATACTGCTAAATAAATGATAGTTTCTGAACAGTTTCATTAATACAGGTGCAGTTTCAAATATCTACATTTTCCATTCAAACCTATAAACACAGATATTTTATATACTTATACAAAATGTAAAGTATATATAAAGAAACAACTTCATAAAATTCTCATACTCTATAATTAAAAGCTACACGTTAGGCGTGTGAACATGTTTCAACTTCACAGTATTTTTGTTTTGTTTTGTTCATCTGAGTCAGGGACTCTATGTAGTCCTGGCTGTCCTGGAACTTACCATGCACACCAGACTGGCTTCAAACTCCTGCGTGCTGAGATAAAGATATATGCTACCACAACTGGCTCAAAAAACTTTTTTTTGTTCTTTTGTGTTTGAATATTTTGCCTGCATGTATGTTTGTGCACCATGTGCATGCCTGGTGCCCAAGTCAGAAGTGGGCTTTGGATCCCCTGGAAGTGGATTTATGGATGGCTGTGAGTCACGTGGGTGCTTGGAATCAAACCCAGGTCCTTTGCAAGAGAAACAAGTGTTCTTACTAGCTGAGCCATCTCTCCAGCCACTAAACATCACAATAATAATTAGATAACTTTAAAAATTCAGAGATACCACATAAATTTCCATTTTTAGCTGTTCCTTAAACATTGGATTTCATGCTCTCAGTTGCCATGTCAAACAGCCATGATGAGCTATGACTTCAATTACTACATTATCTGCCTGGCTGCAACAGCATCAGAGCTTGTGGCTTCTGATCAAGATTGATCCTGGTTTCCATTTCTTTTTGCTTCATGATCAATTTTTATCTCATGTAGCCATCACAAATGTGCCAGATTCCTTGCAAGCCCACATGTCTGAATTCAAAGATGGGAGTGCCAAAAAAGTACCCTAATGTCTGGCATATATTTGTGAAACTACTCAAAAGAAAAACAAAAAGTACCTTGTTATGGTGCAAGAAGCTTTGGACAAGGCTTCGACATTGGGGACAGCCCACCTTCCAGTCTCAGTTTCCACATATACAGAGACCTGGACGGTTCTATGCACCTGGGCCTAGTCTTTATTAATTCAACCTGAAACACCAGGACAGTTCCTTGTCTTCTGACATTAGTGTTCAATGACCATAAGAAGTTGGTAGGAAGGAACCTGAATGCATTAAGAAAATTAAGTATACATGCCATATCTCTAAAGGGATTTTTCTCTCTTCCCCTTGTCTACTCAGAGCCCAGGCCAAGAAAGAAATGTTTCTTTGTCCTTACTATGTGTTGATGGCAGATGTGTTCCACAGCAACCTTTTTCTTAGATGTTATTTATTTATTTTTATGTGTATGGGTATTTTGCCTGAATGTATGTCTGTTTACCTTGTATGTGCCTGGTGACTGCAGAGGCCATAAAAGGGAGTTGAATTTCATGGAACTAGACTTAGAGAAAGTTGAGCTGCCATGTGGGTGTAGGGAATTGAACCCAGGTCCCGTGGAAGAGCATCCAGTGATTTTAACCATTGAGCCATCTTTCCAGTCCCTATAGCAACCTTGAGGGAAAACCCTTCAAAGGTATTTGAGAATCTCTCTGCCACGTGTGGATCTAAGGCTTTATCTCCTACATTTTAATCATTCTATTATGAAGTCAGCATTTAACACCTGCAGTCTTCCAGCTTGGGACTCATTTCCTTTTACTTCTGACAATTTCCTTTTTTCCTTGTAAATCCAGTTATTCATTCAAAACACAGTTTGTTTGCTGGGTGTGGTGGTGCTCGCCTTTTATCTGAGAACTAGGAGGCTCACGCAGGCAGATCTCTGTGAATTCAAGGGCAGCCTAGTCTATGAAGTGAATTTCAGACCAGCCAAGGCTACACAAAGGAGACCCCATCTCAAAAAACAAATACCACCACCACCACCAAAAGCAACTTATTTGCATGCCTTTTCTAAGTGTTTTGTTGCTAATCACATATCAGAGTCAGAAGTCACATGGATTACTTTAGTAATGGAAAAGAGTTTTAAGGAGGCTGAAATAGACATTAACATCAATATTACCTGGACAGCCTGAGAAGACGGTGAATGGTGGGACCACAGTTTCTGGAGGTAATACTGTATTGTCAAGAATTTTGCAGCAGTCTTTCAAGACACACCGGCGACCCTGAAATTAAAATGTTA